ATTGTGATTACACACTTTGTCTGTAATATGGAAATTATCTGTACACTCAATTTTTGTGAAGACTTAATGCAATTGAAATTTGGTGTTCTTAAGAGGTTTATTATAATTGCTTGCTTGGTCTCAAATCCAAAGGATGGCATTATACATTGATTCATTGTGTCAAGTGTTGGCTTCTTGTTGGTTAGATGGTTCTTTTCCCTAGCTTTTACCTTATACTTTAGGATAGTCTCTTCATCTCCTCCCATCTTCTTTAATTTTAAAAATATTCTCCCTCCTTTTGAAAACTCTTCTTGTTTTAAAACTTGAACCACTTTCATAATAAACTTGGACTTATGTCCATGCATTTTCAAAATATTTTCTTAATCAAACTTTAATCAACTTAATAATACATTGACATTTTTGTGAGAAGACTAAAAGTGAATCAATATCATTCAAATCACTTTGCCACTCTGGCTTTTATCTTAAATTTTTCTCAAAAGATTAGACTTTTGTCAATCCTTGTAGTGATGAAAACAATTATACTTCTACAATATATAGTGAAGTGAGATATTTTCCACTTGGGTGTGAAGTGAGGTTTTGTTGATTTTAAAATCCAAGTCATATCCTCCACTTTAAGATGATGCAAATTCTCCTTTCTCATAATTGTGGGTAGTAGGTATGTTTTCCACTCTGATAAGGCGATGGTGTCTTGTCTCTTAAAATTAACCAACACACTTGTATTTTAAAATTTTTAAAGGTGAACTACGTGTACCCTGATCCCCTAGTGCACAGAAGGTGGTACGTAGGCACTAAAGGTTCGCAACCGCAGCAGGTGTAAAAATTACAAAATATACTTCTTTCCTCATCTCCCCCATCTATTTCTATACAACATTTTATAGTCAAAATATATAAATTTTTCTCAAAGAGGTTCCTACGGAGTACCGTAGATGTTTAGGGTGCTAATACCTTCCCTTTGCATAATCAACCCCCTTACCTAAAATCTTTCCCCCTCTTTTGGATTATTCGCTCTTTTCCCATTCCTTTGGAAATAATAAAGCGCGGTGACGATTTTTATTTTGATTTGTACAAGTCAAGTCAATCCAATGGCTTAGTCTTAACATTTCTACCGCTACACCTATCAATCACACAACCAAGATGATTCTCACAAATATGAATATTATATCTCATATGTCTCCATGGCACACCTACAAAATCAGAGTTTCAAATTCTACAGATCTCAATAAACCTCATTTTACCAGTATCTTACATGGAACAAAAACACCAAAAAGGATCATAGGGAAAAGGGTAAACCGGAGAATAATGACTTATATGTATTAACATAAGAGTGTGTCAAACCCCTGCCTTATACAAATTCATAATAGTATAATAATTTTATAGAATACATAATAGTACAACACCAAGTATTATTGTGTCATGCACATTGCACATAAGTTACATACACTAAAATACGGCTACTTACTGCGTGGAAAACAACTAAATCAGAAACAAATATATTAAAAACATAAATAATCAGGGTTATAAAAAATTTATTTTAATAACTTGAAACAAACAACAATTTATTTTAATGCTATTTTACTTTTAAAAACAATTTATTTTAATTATAAATTGATTTACAATTTTAATAAAAATATTAACATTTATTTTTTATTCTATTATATAATTGCATTCTTTATAAATAGTCAAAATATAAGAACTATTTCACTTTGAATTTTTTTTTATATTATAGTTATAAACTCATAAGAGGAAAAGATATATTTGATAAAAAAAAAATTTCATGACGAATTTATAATTTATTTTTTTAATTTATAACTTAATTTTCCAAACACTTTCAAATAGCATTTTATCTTAACTTATCATTTTTTATTTCACTTTTATTTTTATTATTTTAATTAAAATTTACTTTCTTTTATAATTTATTTTAATTTAAAATAAAATAATTATATATTAAATATCTTTTATGTCATTATATATTTAATAACTAATTGGACAACTAATTTTACTTAACACTTTAATTAAGTAATCAAATAGTAATAATTAGTTATCAATTACTCCTTCCGTCTGAAATTATAAAATGTTTTGGTATTTCGTACGTATTAAGAAAAATAATCATTGTTATATGGGAAAGAGAAATTATGTATGATTTTACACAATTGTCCTTCATTAATTATAGAGGAAAAAGAAATTAAGAGAACACAATGAAGAAAGAGAAATAAATAATAGAAGGTATATTAGGAAAAACATCATTAATGTTGTATTGGAATTGTAAAGTGACTTATAATTTGGGACACATTTTTTCTCCAAAGTGTCTTATAATTTGGGACTGAGGGAGTATAAACTATCACTCATCAACTATAAACTATCAACTAATTTTCAATATTTTTTCCAAACAAAACCTAAGCAAAATAGTCAAAAAATCAAACCACAATGAAAAATAACTTTTATCTACTTTGGGTGAATATATATACTTTTGCAGTTAAAATTGGTGTTATTGCTCGTACAAATGGATTATAATGGTGGCAATATTATTATGTATGTTAGGAATGTTTTCTTTTAATTTTTTTATTAAAAAAATTGAATTTGAAAACAATCAGACTTTAAAATCATAATCAAATATAAAATCGATTATTAAGAAAAATGTGTCTTTGGTTTTACATTACTAACATTTTTTGTTTGAATCTCTATCAATTGTAGTATGGATTACATAGATTGTTAGTCACATGTTTCATCTATGTAATACAGAGTATATAGTTTATAGTTTGTTAATCATATGTTTCATCTTTTTTAATACTAGTACTACTTCAAAAATTTGATAAAAAATACAACTTCAAATCTTTCAAGCTTTTGGCTTATAATCATTTATTGATAATAAAATTTGACAATTTAACATTACACCAAAAAATACTGCTTTAGAGTATTAATATAATGTACTATAACTTTTTCTTTTTTTAATTTATTATGTCAGCTTACTTAAGAACATGCATTTGGTTGTGTCAGCTTGACTTGTCACATTAATTATTTAAACATCCAAACTCTACACACTATTTTAAGAGTTTCTTGTGACACTATTTTGTCTTAAAGTCTAAATTCATTATTGTTTATGATGTGAATTCCTAGAACTTGATAACACAAGATTGAGACAACTCATTACAATAACCAAAACATGAGACATGATTCATGATATATACTAGTCTGTCCTCAGGCACAAAATCTATAAACATAGGATAAGGTTTCCCCTAATATTGAGCACCAATAAACATAGCACAAGTGAATTTTAACCAAATTAGATTATTATTGTGATTTTGTTACAATTTTAAAGTTTATTACTTGTCCAAATACAACTAATTAAATAGAGAAATTACAATCCTAAAGACATAATCAACCTACAATGATAGTATTAAGTTGAACATATCAGTCAAATTCCAATCTAAAATTTCATTAGTATGGAGTATATATCACTTTTGTGTATGATTTTCATGTGATAATTAATAATTAATAATAATGACCAATTTTTACTCAGGTTTACACAAATTTAACAATTTTGTTTTATTGTATTACATATGACTGATAAGGCATCAACTTCAATTTATAAAATTACAATAATAGAATTGAAAGAAGAAAAAAAAAGAAACTATAAACAATTAGAAATAACTTTTCAAAATAAGCTATAAATTGATAAAAATTAGCTATCAGCACATGACAAAATAACAGTTACCAAACAAAATTTTTTAAACATATGAAGGTATAAATTATAAGAAATAAATTATAAAGTTAAAAAATGATTTTGCCAAACAAAGTCTTAATGTATTGGCTATTTGTTCTATTTTTTCTCTTACTTGCCTATAAATAACTCAACTCACTTCTACTCTAATGAATCTTTCACATTAAAACTATTTTCTCACAATAACATAACATAAAAAAATGGCACAAAGAGTTGTTATGTTTCTCCTACTCTTGTTGATTGTAAGTTACTAACACTTTGTATACATGCTTCTACCTTGTACACTTACATTTTTCATCATCTATTTATCATAATAATCTATCATCTTCATATTTATTTTGCAATTGTACATGCATGTTAAACTAAATAAAATTCAACATGTTCATAATGTATCATTTTTATCTTTATTGCAATTGTACAGGCATGTTGAATTTAATTTAATGCATATGCTTCTAGATCCTTCTCCTGAGTTGTTTTTCATGCATTCAACACATTCATAATCGAGTTACTCTATATGATTTTATAAATTATATTTTTTAACTTTAATAAAATTAAAAATATTCGACTTCTTATTTTTTATGTTTAAATTATGTATCTATTATATATAGATAATGAATATTTCTTCAACTATACACATTGCTGCTTTTTAATCATATATGTATCATCTAAAACATATAATTAATTTGTCACTCATTATTCATTTGCATTATAGAATATCCATGAAAATTTTGCAAGAGATATGAACCAAGTTGATCAGTCCTACCTTGATGGCTGGTTCAAAAACACTCCACTAAAGAACTAAAAACCCTCCTCTGACTCCAATCAAATTTACCTTGATGGATGGTTGAAAGATACAAGAGGCGAGAAAGCAAAATCCAACCTTGACTCCAACCAAGTTTATCTTGATGGATGGTTGAAAGATACCCGGAATGAGAAAGAAAAAGCCAACCCTGATTCCAATCAATTTTACCTCGATGGATGGTTGAAAGATACTAGAGTCGAGAAAGTAAAAGGCAACCCTGACTCCAACCAAGTATACCTTGATGGATGGTTGAACGATAACTGAGTCAAAAATATAAAATCCAATCCTGACTCCAACCAAGTGTACCTTGATGGATGGTTGAAAGATACTCGGGTTGAGAAAGTAAAAGCCAACCCTGATTCCAACCAAGTTTACCTCGATGGATGGTTGAAAGATACTAGAGTCGAGAAAGAAAAAGTCAACCCTGACTCCAACCATGTTTACCTTGATGGATGGTTGAAAGATACCCAAGCCCAAAATGCAAAATCCAACCCTGACTCCAACCAAGTTTACCTTGATGGATGGTTGAAAGATACTCGAGATGAGAAAGCAAAAGTCAACCCTGACTCCAACAAAGTTTACGTTGATGGATGGTCGAAAGATACTCAGGCTGAGAAAGCAAACGCCAACCCTGACCCCAACCAAGTTTACGTTGATGGATGGGTGAAAGATGTTAGAACAAAGTTTGAATCTACTACCCTAAGTTTAAGTTTTGATGATAACAAAATGCTAAGATACATTAATTGTATGATTCATGTAAGACACATATGCTATCTAAAAATTACATTCAGTTTTACAGAAACTCTGATGGGTATCAGCATGAGAACATCCTCATCAGCATCAAAAAATTAGATATCAACATCAGCATCAGAAGATGTTATATCAGATACCAAAATCAGAAGATCAACTTGCGCTTATGCTGAAGCTTGATGAACAGATCTGCGCTCAACACTCTGAACTCTGATAAAGACAACAACAGTTCATCAGCACCTAAGCAGCGTCAGAATGAGCCAAAGCCAGAACACACTTAAGTGGCAACGGTACTGTGCATTCAAGATGAGTTATTACCAACGGCATCATTCCAGACAAGATCTGCTTAATAAGGAAAGAATGTTATTGGCATTGAAACAGAATTATTCTCCAACGTACACTATTTCCAATGCTATATAAACAAGTCAATGAAGATTGAATTGGCTAATGCTCTACAACACTCTACACGCCAAAAAGCTATTCATCATCTTCCTCACTCTCAGTTTGCTAAAAGCTCCAAAATTCCTTACTCAATTATTTTAGCAATCTAGTTTCCTTAAGCTTAATTTGCGTAGTATCACAGTTGTGATAAACAGTTTTGTAGAAAACATTCACACACCTAGATTTCAATTCTTTGTAAGAAAGCAATTCCTTGAGAAACCGGTTTGTGGTTTGCATCAAGAAGGCTCTAACAGTTGCTAAAGTAGATTGTAATATTCAGTTGAATATAGTGGATTAAGACCTCGTTGGAGAGAGGTGAAATCACCTTGACGGGTGGACTGGAGTAGTTTGAGATCAAACGAACCAGGATAAAAATATCGTGTTCATTGCAATTTATTTCCAGTTTTTACAATTCAACCCCCCTTCTTGTGTTTTTCACTTCTTCAATTGGCATCAGAGCGCCTGGTTCTGAGCTAAAACACTTAACCGTGTCAGTACAAGATCCAACGTCAGAAAAACACAATGGCAGAAACTTATCAACACACCAACAATGACAACAATGAAGACAGAGACAGATTCAGCGGCAAACCTCCAGTCTTTGATGGAGAAAATTTTGATTATTGGAAAGACAGAATTGAAAGCTTCTTTCTGGCACATGATGCTGATCTGTGGGACATGGTGATAGATGAATACACGCACCCTGTGAATGCAAGCGGTCAGAAGATTGATAGGAAAGCAATGTCTGACCAACAAAAGCGTGACTTCAAAAATCACCACAAGGCCAGAACCATCCTTCTCAGCGCCATCTCTTATGCTGAATATGAAAAGATCTCTAACAGAGACACATCAAAGAACATGTTTAACTCACTCAGAATGACGCATGAGGGCAACGTTCAGGTCAAAGAAACTAAAGCTCTTGCGCTCATTCAGAAGTATGAGGCATTCAAAATGGAAGAAAGTGAATCCATTGAAACAATGTTCTCAAGATTCCAGATTCTGGTGGCTGGTCTCAAGGTTCTGGACAAAGGATACTCTACTGCTGATCACGTCAAGAAAATCATCAGAAGCTTACCAAAGCAGTGGAGGCCAATGGTTACAGCTCTGAAGCTAGCAAAAGATCTCAACAAAATTTCTCTGGAGGAACTTATCAGCTCCCTCAAAAGTCATGAGATAGAGCTAGAAGCTGATGAACCTCAGAAGCAAGGTAAGCCTTTAGCATTAAAATCTAACAAAAAATCTGAGTCTAAAGTTTTGCAGGCAGTAGAAGAAACATCTGATGGATCCTCATCAGAAGAAGACGAATCTTCTCTCCTCTCCAGAAGAGTGAACCAACTGTGGAAGCAGAGGCAAAGGAAGTTCAGGAATCCCAGAAGATCTGATCAGAACGAGTCTTCTTCCAGATACAGAAGGACAGATTCTTCCTCTGGATACAGAAGATCTGAAGGCTCCTCAGGAAGCAGAAAGCCAAACACCAAGGAAATCATCTGCTATGAGTGCAATGAGCAAGGACACTACAAGGGTGACTGTCCAAAGCTTCAGAGGGAAAAGCCCAAAAAGAAGTTTGGAAGAGAAAAGAAGAAAAGTCTCATGGCTACATGGGATGATTCTGACTCGTCTGAAGCTGACTCAGAATCAGATGATGAGAGAGCAAACATAGCTCTCATGGCCAACATTTCAGAAGACAGTGAAGCTTCTGAATCAGACTCAGAATCAGATACTGAAGAGGTATTTCCTGACTTTGCAATTAATTTTACTAAGGCTGAACTTGCTGAAAGCCTTAATGAAATTCTGGAAAGGTACCAGCAGATTAGAGTTAAATTCAGAAACCTGAAAAGGAATCTTGAATCTGACTCTAATAAGACTGAGAATCTTAAATTGGAAAATTCTGAGCTGAGAAATAAAATTTCAAAATTAGAAAATACTTTACAAAACTCTCAGAAGGAACCAATTTCTGAAACTCCCAGCAGCGCTGATGAGATCATCAAGGAGTATGATCACAGTTTCCAAAAGTTCCTTGCTAAAAGCATAGATAGAAGCAAATTGGCATCAATGATCTATGGAGTTAGCAGAAACGGCAGGAAGGGAATAGGATACCAAGGTAAGGTTCCTACACCAAAGAATGTCATGGATTTAACCATTAAACACACTCCTCTGAACTCACATTTTGTGTATGGTCACACACATGATATTAAATACACTAGCAGTAAGTATTCTGTGAAACCAAAATTCAACCAGAGTTTTGGTAAATCTAACAAATCAGGACCCAAGAAAATCTGGGTACCTAAGGATAAAATAATACATGTTGCAGATATCTTTAGCAGCAAATCAGAAACACCAGTCATGGTACCTGGACTCTGGCTGCTCGCGACACATGACGGGAAGAAGGCATATGTTCCAAAGCCTGGAACTTAAGCCTGGAGACCACGTTGGCTTTGGAGGCAATCAGAGGGGAAAGATCATTGGCTCTGGAACTGTAGGTAATGGAAATCTTCCCTCTATAAATAATGTTCTGCTAGTAGATGGATTAATGCATAATCTGTTATCCATAAGTCAATTAAGTGATAACGGTTATGATATAATCTTTAATCAAAAATCATGTAAAGCTGTTAGTCAGAAAGATGGGACTATCCTGTTTAATGGAAAGAGGAAAAACAACATCTATAATATCAAACTTTCTGAACTGAAAAGTTAGAATGTAAAGTGTCTTCTGTCTGTTAACAACGAGCAGTGGATCTGGCACAGAAGATTGGGGCATGTTAGTATGAGAAGAATATCTCAGATTAACAAACTCAATCTGGTCAGAGGACTTCCTAACTTGAAGTTCAATTCAGATGCTCTGTGTGAAGCATGTCAGAAAGGCAAGTTTGCAAAACCTTCTTTCAAATATAAAAATGTTGCTTCTACCTCTAAGCCATTAGAACTTCTGCACATTGACTTATTTGGACCAGTTAAAACTGCTTCAGTCAGTGGCAAGAAGTATGGGTTAGTAATCGTAGATGACTATAGCAGATGGACATAGGTAAAGTTCTTAAGACACAAGGACGAGTCACACTCTGTGTTTGTTACCTTCTGTAACCAAGTTCAGAATGAAAAGGATCTTAGAATCGTTAAAGTCAGAAGTGATCATGGTGGAGAGTTTGAAAACAAAGATTTTGAGTCATTCTTTAATGACAGAGGCATTCTGCATGATTTCTCTTGTCCTAGAACTCCCCAACAAAATGAAGTTGTAGAACGAAAGAACAGAACATTGCAAGAAATGGCCAGAACCATGATCAATGAGACAAACGTTGCTAAGATCTTCTGGGCAGAGGCAATAAACACAGCGTGCTACATTCAGAATAGAATCTCAATAAGACCTATTCTGGAAAAGACTCCATATGAACTGTGGAAGAACAGAAAGCCCAACATTTCATATTTTCATCCATTTGGATGTACTTGTTTTATGTTAAATACAAAAAATTATTTGAACAAGTTTGACTCTAAAGCACAGGAGTGTATTATGTTAGGATACTTTGAACGCTCAAGAGGGTACAGAGTATACAATACAGAAACACAAATTGTGGAATAATCAATCAGTGTTCGTTTTGATGATAAGCTTGACTCTGAAAAGTCAAAGCAGAATAAAGTTTTTGCAGGTATGGAAATTGAATTTACAGGTTCTGAAGACAAGTCATCAGAAACTCTCAACATAGACACCCCTTCAATATCTGAAAGGAGCACTGCTAGCAATCCTACAACAGTTGCTGATCAACCTCAGAAGAGACTACCCAGAAGCAGCTTGGATCACCCAGAAGAAACTATCTTAGGAAGAAAGGAAGATCCAATCAGAACAAGAGCAAGCTTCAGAAACTCTGAAGAAACCCTCATGGGACTAGTGTCTCTGATTGAACCTTCTTCTATTGATGAAGCACTTCTGGACAACGAATGGATTCTAGCAATGCAAGAAGAGCTGAATCAATTCACCAGAAATGACGCATGGGATCTTGTTCCCAGACCAAAAGGATTCAACGTCATTGGAACAAGATGGGTGTTCAGAAACAAGCTTAATGAACAAGGTAAAGTCATCAGAAACAAAGCACGACTGGTAGCACAAGGTTACAGTCAGCAAGAGGGAATAGACTATACAGAAACCTTTGCTCCAGTCGCCAGGTTAGAATCTATCAGACTTTTAATTCCATTTGTTGTTAATAGAGGCATCACTCTGTATCAGATGGATGTCAAGAGTGCATTCTTAAATGGTTATATAGAAGAAGAGGTTTATGTGCACCAACCCCCTGGTTTTGAAAGTACAAAACATTCAGAACATGTTTTCAAACTAAAGAAGTCACTATATGGTCTGAAACAAGCTCCCAGAGCTTGGTATGAAAGACTAAGTAACTTTCTGTTAGAAAATGAATTCACCAGAGGGAAGGTGGACACTACCTTATTTTGTAAATCAGTTAAGAATGACATCTTAGTCTGTCAAATTTATGTTGATGATATTATTTTTGGATCTACTAATCCTTCTCTTGGAAGAAAATTTGCTAAGTGTATGCAGGCAGAATTTGAGATGAGCCTCATGGGGGAACTGAAATTCTTTCTAGGAATTCAGATCAATCAAACTCCAGAGGGAACTTACATTCATCAGAGCAAATATGTCAGAGATCTTCTGAAGAAATTTG